ATATGCGTAATACATATATAGAGACATTGATAATGCGTGTTTGCGAGTGAGTGTAAGTGTAAGTGTAAGTGTATGTGTATGTGTGTGTTATGCAGCCAGAGAAGCGAGTAACATCCGTGAGAAATGAAAGCGTTCGTTGAATGTGCCGAGCACCGGCTGCGCGTAATGCATCATCAGTGTAAAGATAGTTAGGCACGTGCGCGATACGCCCGTACACGCTTCCCGATTACATCTTTACTCCGGTGTTAGCTGTTTGCTAGTGTGTTAGTGTTACATATATCGAAGGACCCTTATTACCGAGCCCTGTGTGTCTCTCACGCTCGCATTGATTCGCTATTCCGTTCACGGTATGTAATTATTGAAGCTCTGGATCGGCAAACGCGGATTAAACTACGCTCTTGGAACTCGATATATAATATATATGTATTATATATCATGTATTATATATCGCGTGCTTATCAAAATTTCATTTTAAAATGAAACCCTCCTATTTGGAGGGAAAGAAAAAAAAAAAGGAACAAGAAAATAGGAAAAAAGATAAGTAAGTAAGTAAACGGTGCCTTCCAAAAGTGTTAATGAAAAACAAACACGTAAATCTTGAGTGCCCTTGGCGAAGAAAATCGGTAGTGGTGGTACCTGTGTACACGAGACCTACCTATCGATTCGAAGTACAAAGTATGATTGAGGATTCAAAACGAGGTCTTTCTGATAATTATAGTCTTTACACTTTCCTGATCCACCCTTTATAACCAACCATCCTGACCGTATTTTCTTACTTCTTTCTACGAACGCGATCCCCGATCGACCACGCCTCCAATGAGATCGGAATTATTTTTATTTATAAAGGTAATTTTTCTAAAAATGACAAGAATATATGTTGTGTATTGTTTACACTGCCGTATTGTATATAAGTTTATGTGTATATGTATTATAAATTATTAGTTTATTATTATTATTATTATTATTATTATTATTATTATTATTAATTATTATTATTATTAATTTATTTATTCATTTGTTATTAATACTAATCAGTTTATTATTATTGTTATTATTATTATTATTATTATTATTATTATTATTATTATTATTAGTTGTTTATTATTATAATTATTATTATATATATTATTATAGTATTAATATATAATATATTATCATCGTCGTATTTATAACTATTATTATTATTATTATTATTATTTATTATTATTATTATTATTATTATTATTATTATTATTATTATTATTATTATTATAATTATTATAATTATTATTATTATTCTTATTATTTTATGTCGTTTCATATAATAATAATCCGTCGATAACTACGTAGCCTCCGAACTCTCGTGATGAAGGGAAATTCATAACGCGCTCTTTAAAATCGTACACGCGCCTCTCATCACGTTGTATTTCACTTATTGTGTGGTGAATGTGTGTATGTTTGTGTACATGTGTAATGTATGATTCGTCTACATGTATATATACGTATTTATGTATGTCTGTAGCTACGTTTTAATCACTCTATCCTTTATCTTTCATTTCATGCCCTGTACGTGTGCCACGAATATAGTGTGAGCAATGAATTCGTGAACGTACTATAAAAGCGAGAAGAAGGGTCGTCCGTCCGAACCCTTCTGAAAATAAAATTCTAAATCAAAAGATATATAGTATATATATAATATATATTATTATAATATATATAATATACGTTATATTTGTGTGTGCATAATTTATATTATATATATTACATAGTTATGCTCTAAATGGCGCACGTGACTAGTTCCTTTTTTTATTTTATTTTATTTTTTTTTATGTCTCACTAAACGTACCGCCACCCTTTCGTGTCACGCGAAGCTAATAATTTGTTCTTTCATTTCTCTTTCTTTCTCACTTTCTTATCATCTTTGCATTGCGGTTGTTGTGTTACGATCTCTCCTTGGCTAAACTATAATTATAATAATAATTTACTAAGTCTCTAGTGTTTTCTTTCAATTAATTTTTTTATATATATATTATATATAGTATATATAGTATATATATACTATAATATTGTATATATATATATATACTATATATATTATATATTTATCTCTCATATATTTATATTATTTATAATTATATATTTATATATATACTTCCTCTCATATATCTATATCTATATACATATATACATATACATATTATATATATATATATATATATATATATATATATTAATATGTATGTATGTATATATATTTATATATAGATATATAGATACGTAAGAATTGTTGGTACCTTTGTTGTGATTATTTCCGCTAAGATCAAAGTTCTCCTCTCCATTCTATCGCGCGCGCTCCCATTTTGTTTGACCATCGTAATTGTAACGCCACGTCCTATCGTCTAAAAAAATTATCCTAAGTTTTATTTTTCGATTTACAAACCAGTACTATTCGCAAACACCTTTTCCTACATTTCTTTCACCTCCTCAAAATATCTCATGTTCGATCAATTAATAATCTATA